AACAAATGAGTGAACGAATGTGTAAAATTGAAAAAGAAAAATCTGATAAATTAATATATAAATTACCAGCGTTAAATTTGTGTAGTTATAGTTTGTTCTGAATTAATGACATTAAGTCATAATCTTAATGCTATTAATTTTAAAGATAAAAATAAAAGTCATCAATAATAATTTGGTCATCTTCATTGATGACTTTAATAGTTATTTTTTTCACTTGTAATGAAATAAAATTAGCCATATCACTCGCATACACTAATTTAACTTTATGAAGGTCTTTATTAAGAAAATAATAAATATCAAATAAATTAATTGATATTAAAGTTCGATTACACACATTAAACCAACGAGTAAACGAGCTAAATGTAACAAATATATCATATTCAATAAATAATTTTAATGGTTTATTTTTTTGATGTAATTTATCTAACTCACTTAAATTAAAAATATATGATATTCCATTATTAATATTGATATTATCAATTTCAAAATAATGTATGTTATTTAATGTGTAAGACTTATAAACTGGTTTATATTTATTAATATAATTTTTAATAATATTATTATTTTTTATTTTTAATAATCTAACATCACCTAAATTATAAGATAATACTATGTCTTTAATTTCTATTGGTAAATCATAAAATATCATATAATATTAATATATATTTAATTATTTAATTATTTAATTATTTAATTAGTAATTTTCAAATATTGAGAAAACTTTTTCATAAACATTTTATCTGGATTCTTTTCTAAAAGGTTAATATATAAAAAACTATGCGGTTCATCAGTGGCAGTCTCATATATTTTATAAATTAGTTTCTTGCTTTCATGTAAATTATCGCTTCTAACAATTGCTGATAAATCATCTTGCAATATTTCTATCTCTTTAAAATTTCTAACTTTATAATAAAACAAATGACTTATATTTACCCTAATAATTGGTGGTACGGTTGATGATTTTTGAAGACTTACAAGTGTTGATATTCCACTATGACGACCTCTACAAAATAAAGAATTTAACAATTTGTTATTTCTTGTTATTGCTGGATTATCAGATACATCATCCAAAATTACCAAAATATTAAATAATTTCTTCGTTCCTTGTTTTTTCTGGTATTCAATTATTTTATTTTGAGTTTCTATAACTCTTTCTAAATCTTCAACATTGAACTCATCCCACCAACACGGTTCTTTATCATTATCTACTTTCAAACCTTCTTTAATGTATTTTTTAACAGGCAACCAAATACTATCCAAATTTACAGATGGAGACCAGATAAAAATTCTTTCAAATGCTCCTCTATAAATATCAAGTATCATTGATACAAGTAAAGTTGATTTTCCACTTCCAGATGGACCGACAATCATAGCTCTCATCGGCAATTTAGGGACGACCTCATGCTTACTTTGCTTAAAGTCATATTTGATTTCATCAATTGGTTTTACATCAGGCATAATAAAAATAATATTATAAATACTTATAAATAAAAAAATATATATAAATATTTATATAATCATAATGCCAAGAAGATCTATTAATCTAAGTGAAGTTACTAGTATTCGGAATATATATAAATTCGGTGATGTTTTAGTTCCAGATACTGGCCAACTATATTATGATACGATTTTACCGTTTTTATCGACGATTAATAGCCAAAATACTATAATACCTAAATCATCAATCGAAAACGAGGATATCCTAAATTATAATAAATTATTGAATTTTATGAAAGATTATCCCGATATATATACAAATGAAATGATAAATGGTGTACAAGAAATTATTAATAATAATATTCTAGATGTTAGTATACCAACTGCAGTAAAACTTACTAAAGAAAATAATTTAAATACAAATTCTATTTAATATTAAGGGACACGAGGAACGAGCCTCGCGTGCTAACGCGACCATCGTTTTATGATATGCTGGTGGCGAATATCATAAAATGGAACAGGCTTTCCATTGCTACAATCAATAAGCATTGAAGCTAAATAGTTTGTATCTCTCTCGCGTGTGCAATGAAAACCCCAAGTGCTGTGCCCCACCAATATTCTATTATGCATGAAAATAATAAGATTAAATAATTTAAATAATTATTTTATCTTATTATTATATGACTGTTATCCATTGCAATTGTTGTAAAACTTATGATGACAAATATTTATTTAAACATCTAAATTCAAAACATCATCAGAAATTTGTAGAATATAGATGGAATAAAGACGATACAATGAAAAAACTTTACAAGAAAAGAAAGACAGAAATGAAAAATAATTTATCTTATTATTTAATATGAAAAGGAGTTATTCAGATTATATTAATATAATAGATGAAATGGAGAATATAGAACAAGTACTAATAACTGATAATAGATGTAAAAAAATATGTTATTTTATTTTAGAATTAATTAAGTTTTTGATACAATATATTAAAAATATAAATATTAATATAAATGGGAAAAAAGAAAAAGAATAAGACAGGTTTAAGTGTTTCATCAACTGATGAAGAAATTGTTAAAGAAACATCAGTTATTGAGGTTGTTTGTCCTACATGTAAAAGAATGTTAGAACTTAAGAATGAATTACAAATAAAAAATAATAAAAGTTGTAAATGTTCATGTATTCCAACAAGTTTCAAAATAAGTAAAAATGATAAGAAAATGAATATTGATAAAACTAAAGACAGTATCAACTTAGAAACTGATGTCCATAGTATAACTTTTAAATTTGGTAGGCAAGCAACACCAACCGATAATAATGAAAACGAAACTCAGGAAACTGTTAAACAAATCATGAAAAATTAGTATTTAAAGAGTAGATTTAACATAATTGCACTTTATAAATATAAATAAATAAATATTTAAATAAATATATAATTATTTATATAATCATAATGCCAACTATGAATGGACAAGACCATAGAATTATAACTTTTGACAATGAAGAAATTAAAGACCTATTCGATGGTGATAGCAACTTTGCTAGACAATTGAGTATAGAATATTTTTATTGGTTAGATGCTAAATTTAATAATAAATATTTTATGAAAGGTATAACTAAACCAGATAAATTTGATAAAATGTTGAAGTATTTTGAAATTACAGGTAACGATGAAGGTTTAATAAAATTGAAAAATAAAATTGATGAAAGACACTTAGAATATAATTTATTTACATATATAACATTAAATTATTCAGGTAAATTATATAATAAAACGTATAATTAAATAAATAATTATCTAAATAAATATATAGTAATGTCTGAAAACGAGGATTATACTATTAATGATTTAATGAAGAAGATAACATTAATTGGTAAAAATATCAAAACCTTAAATGATATGATTAAATCCATTGATGACAAAATGAAACCAGTTGAACGCAATGAAGATAAAGAAAAAATCGAAAAGATATTTCAAGCAAAATCTATAGGAAGACCAACGGGTGATTATCCTACAAAGCAAAAGAAATACTGTGATATGTTGAATACAGGAAAAATCAAACAACCTAAAAGCACCACTTTAGAATTTTACAAAATTTCAAAAAATGATGATGGAGTATATGAATTATTTGAATAAATAATATCTAAATAATTCTAATAAATGAATTTATTAGAATTATTTAGTGGAACAAAACGCGTTGGAACCATAGCAAAGTCGCTTGGATTTAATGTAATATCAGACTTGAAAAATGCTGATATCAACACTGATATTTTGGAGTGGGATTACAAACAGTTTGACAGAAACCATTTTGATTTTATTTGGAGTAGTCCCCCATGCACTGAATACAGCATAGCAAAAACTAGGGGAATTAGGAATATTGAATATGCAAATAATATTGTCTTAAAAACTATTGAGATTATCAAATATTTCAATCCTAAATATTTTGTAATCGAAAATCCACAAACTGGATTATTAAAATATCAGGAGTTTATGGATGAGTTTGAATTTAAAGATGTTGATTACTGTAAGTATGGAATGCCATACAGAAAGAGAACTAGGCTTTGGAATAACATTACAACTTGGAAACCTAGAGAATTATGTAAAAAGGATTGTGGTAACATCAGGAATAATAAACATATTGAAACAGCACAACGGCTTCCATCGGGCACTAAGGAAAATTGGGGAGACAATCCAACAATACATAAACAGGAAGACCTATATAAAATACCTAGTGGTTTGATATTGGAAATTTTGATGGGGATAGATATGGGATAGGCAATTCCACAAGCTTTGTGGAATTATTCCGCGGGCTTCGTGGAACTCATTTTAGGTGGTGTTTTAGTGGGTGTTTGATGCAATTCCGCGGGGTTTTGTGGAAATATTCCATGGGCTTTGTGGAAATAATCCATGGGCTTTGTGGAAATATTCTACGGCCTATTGCAATGATTAAACCCATACTATGATTATCACATGTAAACTATTATATGTTATAATTGTAATATATTTATCGTTTGTAAAGATTGAATTATTATAATTTGCTTATCTCTTTCAAAGTGCGTTGTTTAGACTTGGCATGCTTCTTCAATTTTTTCGTGCGTTGGCTGTTTGTTTTTATTTTGTTTGATACTCTTGTGATATTTTTTGTTGGTATGTTGCTTTGTTTTTTGTTGATGTGTGTTTTTGAGTTTGGGTTCTTTGATGATTTAGAGTGTTGCTGTTTTGTTGGTATGCTTGTTTGAATTATTTAATGTTGTATGCTGTGATTAAATATTTTTGTTGTTGGTTGTGATTATTTATTTTGTTTGCTTGTTGTTCTGGATTTTGTTTTCTGTTTGTTGTGTTGCTGTTGGAGAAAAAATAGTAGAAAGAATAATTCTTTGAATTCTCCTTTTACTATTTTTTTGGGGGGGGGGGGGGGGGGCGGGGGGGGGGGGGGGGGGGGGGGGGGGGGAGGGGGAGGAAAGAGGGGAGGGGATTGGGGAGAAGGACCCCGTTTCTGACTCCTCCAAATCCAAACCCCGAACGCTGAAAAAAGACGCCTCGCTGCCCACGCAAGGTTCACGAGGAAGACCTGGCGGCAATGGAGGCATGAGGCCAAGGGTTGCGGTGGCGAGTGGCCTGCACATGTGCGCCCCATGTCTGTTCGAACAATACCTTTGCAGTAGTTTTGCGTTTGTGAACTCTGCTGGGCGTTTTCATTCTACTTTTCAACTGCGTGCAGTCAAGTTAAATGGCCATTTCCTTTGATTCCACGCTGGCCTCCCAAAATCATCAAACCGCGTGCCAGAATCGATATGGAACACTTTATCTGGGCACGTGGCTGCAACTGTTCCCGGTTTGCTTCTCAATTGCAGGGGGGCTGAAACACCCTTTCTTGGCACATTGTGTTGCACTCAGACTTCCAACTTTCAATGCAAGAGCACATGACTGATTCTACCTTTCAATAGAACAGTACACGATTCGATTGAAAGGTAGAGTATTGACTCACTCCACCTTTCAACATGACAGTGCGCGATTGAAAGGTCGAATAATCTATGTTTCGTTTTTGTACACGGTTGAAAGGTAGATCCCTCATAATTCTACCCTTCAATAGAACAGCGCACGATTTGTGGAAAAATGACCGATTCTACCTTTCAATAAGCCAGTACATGATTGAAAGGTAGAATGCCGACTCAGTCTACCTTTCAATATTTTACACACACTATTGAAAGGTAGAATAGTGTTCGCTGTAATTCTACCTTTCAAGACATCCGCGCATGATTGAAAGGCAGAATGCTGGGTGGATTGAAAGGTAGAATGATGAACGGAGTTGGAAAGCAGTTCATTCATCTCATGCCAGCCGAGACAGCTACGGTGAAGCAGTGGTCGAACTCATGGAGCTGATCACTTGCAGCGAGCAGCGGGGTGATCTGGCCAGTGTGTGGGGCCTGCCGGGTGAGGTAGGGACGCACGAGGCGGACGCGGCGGACAAGGCTAAGTTGGGCGACGTGCCAGCATGGCGAGCCAAGCGTGTTTCTGAGCTGCAGGGCAAAGTGGTCCGCATCCTTGACGACAGCGACGAGGAGCCGCCGCAGAAGCGGCTTCGGGAGGCGCCACGCACTCCGCCACGGCGCGTGGCGACGTCTCAGCCCACGCCAGAGTTTGTGCGGCTCCAGCGTGGCACAACCATGGAGTTGTCGCCTTCGTTCTACGAGGAGTTGCACGCTGTGCGCGCAGAAGCGGAGGTGTGTTCATTTCACATTGCACGTTGTTCGCAACGTGCTTGTGATTCATTTCACACTTGAGTGTTCCAGGGCTCACGCAACCCTGCAGGCCGAAGCGGTGGAGGCTATGGCGACCAGTGCGCGTGGCGCGGAGCTGGCGGAAGCTACGGGAGTGGCTGTGGTGGAGATGGTGGAGAAGGAGGCAGCAGCTGCGGAAGTGGCTGTGGCGGAGAAGGCGGAGCTGGCGGAAGCTACGGGAGTAACTGCGGTGGCGGAGAAGGCGAAGCTGGCAGCAGCTACGGAAGTGGCTGTGGCGGAGATGGCGGAGAAGGCGAAGCTGGCAGCAGCTGCGGAAGTGGCTGTGGCGGAGAGGGCGGAGCTGGCAGCAGCTACGGAAGTGGCTGTGGCGGAGATGGCGGAGAAGGCGAAGCTGGCAGCAGCCACAGAAGTGGCGGAGCTGGCGGAGAAGGTGAAGCTGGCAGCAGCTACAGAAGTGGCTGTGGCGGAGATGGCGGAGAAGGCGAAGCCGGCAGCAGATACGGAAGCTGTGGCGGAGATGGCGGAGACGGATCTGGCAGCAGCTTTAGAAATGGCTGCGGCGGAGAGGTCGGAGCTGGCGGAAGCTATGGGAGTGGCTGTGGCGGCGGAGAAGGATCTGGCACCAGCTACGGAAGTGGCTGTAACGGAGAGCTTGCTGGCTGCGGCAGCGGCGGACGACCGTGCGACTCAGGCGCTTGGGGCGCGACCAGGAGGATCCCGGACCAACACCATTGCAACTCGGACACATTAAGCGGGGGAGGTGGGTTTGCATTTGTTGAAAACCCGGTACCCATTGTTTGAGCTTCGGGGTTTAACGTACGAGGGGCCCACAAGCCTTTGGGAAGGGCCCCTAGGCTGTTCTTCCCTTAAACTCGTGGAGATTCGAGGGTCAAAGCCAATCATGCAGGTCAACCGCAAATTGTCAAACACGTGGCAAAATTCCGTTTGCAGCTGCGAGCTACTCGGAACGACACAAACAGCCGGTAACCCTAAAACTCCGCACCCTCCCATACTTGGCATGTTACATATGACTCCTTGGATAGGGAGAGACCGTTGCTTCATCTTAGGCGTACACGAAGGAACCAGTGTTTCTGGCCGAAGTTGCCAACAAAGTTTGCGCGGATTTGCTTGCGCCCAGTGAGCTCGATGCAGCCAGCAGCAGCAAGGCGCTTGCAGAAACAACGCTTTCCAAAGCGCAAACGCAGCTAAAAAAGCGCTTGGGTCCTAAGGCAGCCAAGAAGTCCAAAGCGAAGACCGCAGCGCAGCCCAAAGCGAAGCCCAAAGCGAAGCCCAAAGCAATGCCGACGCCGTACGTGATGAAGAGGCACAAGCGAAAGCATTTCACTGCTTTCGCGATCAATCTGGACAAGCAGATCATGCAGGCGCAAAGCAACCAGATCAACAACGCTGAAGCCCTCGTTGCAGATCTTACTGCGAAGCTGAACAATGAGGCGATCGCTGTGCAGGAGGCAATTTCCGAGCTCACAGCCGCCAAAGCGCGCGGGGGCTGATCGTGGGATTACTGTGAGGTGCAACACGGTCTTGGAGCGCTCATGCCTCAACCATTGATCACATGTTGTTGCAATCGCCAGCACGCGCATTGCACCTAAAACAAACAGCAGTTCAGCGCGCGCGGCCTTGCAGGACGGCAGCGTTCCTCGACGGCGACCGTCGTCCCCGAGAACCAGTGCCCTACTGCGCTCGTTTGCTGATTGCGTCCTGAGGTTCCATGAGATGTCCAAAGACTAACAGCCAAGCAAACGGGGCTTGATATGAAGCTATGTCGTGCTTGAACGTGTGACTTCTCATGTGGGACGCAGCTCGTTTTTGCTCGGGGGTTGCCAGTGGCGCCTACGCACGAAAAGGTGGTACATGCAATGCTTCACACCTACAAATTGTGTCAGGGCTATAGCCTAGTTGGGGGTTAGGCTCACGTGTGTGGTGCGTAGCAATGGACCCGAGTGGCAACCCAAGCCCAGACCCGCGCGAGGCCTGGTCTGTCAATGGGCATCTCAAACCAAAGCCGAAGACGCTGCGCGCGCCACCTGCCAGGCTCGCATGTGGCGCACCCTGTTCTTGATGACCAAAGAGAACCTACTCGTATTGTGCAGCCTTTGCATCCTTGGTTTGCCCCCTGCCACTTGGACCAAGAGTGTCATGGAAGGAACCCGCAAAAAAGAGACTAGCAACAGAGATTGCAATTGCTTGTTACGAGGTTCTCGTGGATCTCTGCGCCCTGGCAATGCTCACGAAGCAGACCATTGAGTCTAGCGGAGGCCCCAAAGCAAGCGGGAAGCTGGTCTCATGCATTGAGTATTTTGCAGGAAAAGCCAGGGTTGCGAAGGCTTTCAAAAAAACCCGGAGGGCATCCAGAGCTTTCGACTACATGAGCGCCTGGTCTCCAAGCGCCTGGTCTCCAATTGGCTCCACCTATACAAAAGTTTTGTGGCAGTTGCGGTTGCCTATTAATATGTTGAAAAAACATGTGGAACCTCTACCCTTTCAGTTTCCCGTGCTTATTTTAACTGCGGGCAGGTAGAAACATGCCACTAGCCAGCGATGTTTTGCTACCTTTCAGCCCTTCCTACTGAAAGGTAGAAAACGGCACGCAAGTTATTTCTACCTTTCAGTCCTTCTATCAACTGAAAGGTAGAAAATGGTTCAATGTTGAATGTCTACTTCTACCTTTCGCTTCTTCCTTCGTACTGAAAGGCAGAAACATGGTCACTCAAACAATGTTCTGCGGCGTAAGCACATGACAGGCAAAACAATGTTGAATTTACACCTGTCAGTTTCCCAACAAAAGATGCTGCATTTCTACCCCCTCCTACGCGCAAGACAACTCAATGAGTTCTACCGGTGTTAGAATTCAACCTTCTCATTTTAGCGGCCCCTCTCCCTGTCAAGCTGCAACGGAGGATCTGGTAGACATAACATATGCGAGAACACTGGCTTCATGGCATCGGTTGTCGCCCTTCTCAGCCTACGGTTTGCAGGGTTGGCGCACTATGCGACAGTGTGCACATCATTCTGTTGGGTGAACCGAGCTACCAACAAGCGCTCAAAATGCTTTCCGCTTGGGACGGATCGGGGCTACGTGGCCGCCGGCAGTGTTATGGGCGGGCGCACAGTGGCTTGGCTCAACTTGTTTTTCTCAGCGACACGCACGCGAGTTGCAAGTGCTTGGCGCATCATGCGGCGTCGCTCCATATCCTGCGGCGAGCCTAGGCAGCAATGTGCCTTCTTACGTGGGCTTTGGGGTCCGCGTTTTCCTTGGAGCAGCCGAAAAGCAGCACTATGGAGTTCTTAGCATCGTGGCAGTTTGTGATCGATTTCTTCAAGCAGCGCGGCGATTGTTTGAAGGCGCACTTCCTGAACATGGGCTCTTTTCTTGCGCCGTCCAAGAAGCCAACTGTGTTGTACACCGTGTTCAACATGGAGCCGTTCACCCAGCTGCCAACCCCTGCAACGCAGCGCCGTCGCAGGGGGCGTGCCCCTGTGACACGCCAGCGCCCGGGATCGTGTGGTAAGAGAAATGCGCCAAACAAAAAAAACGTTTCGGTCCGGAAGTTTGTGGATCTAAGGTATACGGACGGAGCTGGCAAACGCCGCTGCACTGGGGATGCGGGGTTGAAAGACAGCCAAGCTTACACTCCTGAGCTTCCTGGCGGACACCAAGCCCTCAAACTTCGAATATAATTTTCCTGAGGTGCCCATGTGAACAATTAATCTGCAATTTGGCCACAGCGTTGGAAACCCCACCTGCGCTTTGAAAGTGACGGGTAACATCATTTTCGGAGAAATATCTTTTGAATTCTCACGGAAACAAGGAGGGTTGAAACAAGCTTTCAAAAACGGTGTTTCATTCATTCCGCTGTCGGTAACGCCTTTTACTCGGACCACCTTGCTTTCAAACAAGTACCTAGTTGAGGGTGTCCGGAATCCTGTGCTGCGCAATATCATGTGTGGACACCACGAATCTAGGGTCACTACAGTGTTTGAAAATGCAATGTTGTCAGTTTCACGCCCAGGGAAAACCTTAGATTGCGGGGTTGCGCTGGAGAAATTAATTTTTGTCACACTTGCAGGGTGGCAGACCATCTTGGACTAACGGGTGGCAAGACCGCATCTCAGGTTTGGAAGAGCGATGCTGGCATGGTGGATCCGAAACAAGGATGACCTCAAGACTGAGGGGCGCCTAGTTTGCAATAGTGTGCACTATCTGCAAATACACCCTTTGAAGCGCCTTTTGGATTTAGTTGGCACCAGGAGGCAGCGCTTCGAACATGCAGTGAGGGAAATTCGGGATGCTTCTGTTGCACAGCTGGCCGCGCTGATCATGTCTTATAGGTCCAGCCCTGGGTTTAGATTCCCGGAAGCACAGTTGGATGAATTCCTGGACAGCGCCTTGTGGCCTGTATAGACAGCTGGAAAGCGCAGAAAGCGAAAGAGAGCCAAATCTTTGCGAGTGGTCCCCGAAATTTGTTTGCGCCA